CAAACATTTTTTTCCAAGTGCAGCCTATGAAGAACAGGTAACTGCAGTATAGGTAGGTAGGAAATCCCATTAATTCACAAAATGGTTTTATTGTTTTGTCTCAAAGCCAAGCACAACTGGAAAAGCAACTGTCCTAAATGGAGCTGTTGCAAAGGGGCACAGCACTGAAGGCTCTGCTGCTCGAGCTGGCACAGCGGCTGCACCCAACTTGTGGAGGAGAAGGAACGGGGCCATGTTACTGTGTCACAGCATTACATGTGTCTGAGCTTACCTGCCTGAGACTCTTCTGGCTGACTGCCTGGAACTAAATCAAAGGAGGCTGAGGAGAGGCAGGAGAGAGGAGGCAATTAAACAATGACAGCAATAAAGCCTGGTAATACTCATGGTTCTTCAGGGGATCGCTAGGGAGCGAGGTACTGGAATAACTGCTGCCAGCCTGCTGCCAGAAGGGTGACAAGCTGCTTTACCAAGGCCAGTGATGAAAACAAAAAGATATTAAACCCTCCCCCAGCATAGATGAAAGGACTGGGGAGTGGGCGTATGGAAAGGATGTTAAGAGCAGCCTCTTAAGGAGAGAAGCTACTGGAGTTGCAGATGCACCTGTGTGTGCAACCAAAGCCAGGGACTGATGTGCTGCGGGGGGTGGATTTCAGGGGCTTGTCTAAGCTGCTGGAGAGGTGGTGAGGGGGAAGCCCCAAGCACTGAGACCTCCTGCAGGCTTAGCCCTGTCTCCCAGTTTGTGGTGGGCTTTTGGCTGTACCAACAGCTGTTCTGCCCAGAAAGGACAGTTTCAGCTGTCCATCACAGGCTGTTTGGAGGGGAAGGGGCTGGCAGGCAATGTGTCCAAAGAAAGCAGTCCTGATTATATGTCAACACGGAGCGGGGGACACACACAGACAAAATGAGGGTGCCAGCCCAGTCAGAGGGAGGTGAACATGACAGCAGCCCTCATCTGCTGAGCTTGTGCCCTGGGAGAGATGGCAAAGCTGAGGTGGGGAGGGACACTGCTCCCCCACCTGGAACAATGTCTGGTGCTTTTTTTTTTTTTTCCCCTTAGACATCCTTTATTAGACTGGCTGCTACCACCTTTCCTCACAAACCTCATCTCATCCGTGTCCTTAGACTGCCATGGCTGCAGCATCACTGCCATACCTGTAAGCAGGGGCCAAGTGCTTGCAGTAGAGGCTCGGGGAGGGGGGG